ACACGTAACAAGGCGCATTTATAGTCTTTATAGGGTAGGTGCTGTTAGTGACAGCGTCACGTAGAAATGGTTTAAAGGACTGGAAGAAGGAAATGAATCATTGCAAATTTCAACAATGATGTTAAGGTCGATCGGAAATTACTTCATTTTTTACAAAGCAAAATTCAGGAATTATTTAAGAAATAAATGTACAAACATATAAGTTTATACACCGTTTTGAAGGAGTTGTGGAAATGGACATCATTAAATAAAATCATACTTTAAAAACGATACGTATGTTTAGCTTTTGTTATAAAAGTCTGCAGGGACTTTTCCCAGTAGCTAATATTAAGTCCTAAACGGAAATATTCTAAATCTTCTCTAAGGTATATCTAATGCATCAACAGTACCACAAGGAATTTTAGTTAAGGAAAATTCTTCAATTCGTTTTCTTAAATTTCGTTTAGAACGTACAGTAAGTGTTAATTTAAATGTCTTTTTTATATGTTCGAAAATTGAATACTCGTTACGGTATTAAAAGACGAGATATTCAATGCCAAAGTTGAATCGTTTAACATGAGATCCTTATACAAAACATGTTCAAAAGAGACATTTTTATGAGCAGTAATAAAAGTTTTCTTGATTTATCTTTAAAAAACTAAAATAAAATATATTACAACATGAGGAATAATAAGTAAATTAATCCAGAGATAGTCCGTCGTTAAAAGTAGCAATCACTTTGCGAGCAGATCGTAAACGACGAAAATGATTACGCACTTTCTTGTGCAGTATAATTATTTATGAGACATTAGTTACTTTAATTACAGATCGTTCAGTGGACAGTTATTGACGTTAAAAATTTTAAAGGAGTAGATTCTAATTCGGGGATACGGAGGTCAAGGTCGAAGGCCGAGACCGAGTAACCCGTAACGACGTTGTGTAGCGTAAATTGGCGCGTTGTCTCAAGTAGTTAATAATGGTAATGTGAGGTTGTCGTTACTTGATTGATTTGATTAGCCCAAAGATCTAAATAGCTTTAATTGGAGTACCTTTGCCGCAGTGCGTTATCGTTCGCGAATTCTACATATATCTAGATCTAGACTCTTCGATCTCTTCTTGAAAGGTCTCGGCAAAACTTTTCCTCGGCTAGCGAACAGGATACCATTTCAGATATTTTAAGAACAGTTTTTGATAACGTTTACATTTTTCAAAATGCGATGCGATTCGCGTTGAAATTAATAAGTCTAGGCGGATAAGATGGTAAAATGTGCCCTTGAACGAAATTCAACTTGCAATGAACCATTCAATAAAGTGTCTAAAAAAAACGTTACGTGCCAATTTTCAACCCTTTATCTCAATCCGGAGTGTAGTTATGGGGGTTAGTCAGCTTTAGCGTTTTTGCCATAATTCTCCTATTAAACGTTAAAAAAAAAATGTGTAAAAATTCTCACATGTTCGTGGAACGCTACTTGTCATTAGGGAATTTTCTCAGATTTTTTGCTAAACGTTTAAAAGGAGAATTATGACAAAAACGCTAAAGCTGATTAACTACATAACTACCCTCCGGATTGAAATAAAGGGTTGAAAATTGGCACGTAACGTTTTCTTTAGACACTCTATCGAATGGTTCATTGCAAATTGAATTTCGTTCAAGGGCACATTTTACCATCTTATCCAGCTAACCCTTTTAATACAACTGATAAGTTAATGGAATAAGATTCTTTCTCCCATAGAAAATGTTCTTCACTTTACAAATATGGAAAACGATAAATCAATGAATCAGTTTAACCATTTATGACTGCAAGAAAATAAGTAGGACAAAAATTTTCCATTCAAAGCTCGTTATACTAGTATAAAGTTTTCATTCAGCATTCTTTCAGTTTAGTATTGTTAGTGGACAATCGACTGCCACGTGCCGTTTATATTTTCTTTTCGATATCAGTATTGTATCCT